ATATATACACACACACACACACACCAGCAGTTATAGTATATACATGTGTACCTACACACAACTGTTTCCAAACTTCCTCGATGAGAGTAGACTGCCCTTTTAAATAGGAAAATGTCATGGCACTGCTGTCCTGCCTAATGTACTTTGGGGAAGGTATTTCTGTTTAGGCAATAACTAAGTAAGAGAGTTTCTCACTAAGTTAAAACCCCCAAAACCCACCTCTCAAGGATGTGTTGGAGGGAAAGCTATGAATTCATTTAAAAGTATGACACTGAAACTAGTGTTTGTTTTAAATGTTCGCTGTACTTATTTACAGAAATGACCCTCATGTAAGGACCCAGTACTTGTGCCATTACAGGCACCATAACCCACGTGTTGGTTAGTCCTGCAGCGGCAGTAGGCTGGCCCCCCGGGTTTGTGTCGGCTGTACTGACTGCATCTCTTGGCTGGCCTGCAACAGACAGGCGGTCCTTCTCCACGGGAGGGTGTATGCCGGTCGGCCCTGCTCGCTTGGAGAAAAGCCCCCTGGCAAAGTGGTAGTGCTGAGCCTTGAGGTGGAGAGGGCTCTGAGCCTACAGAGGTAGGTTCTTCTGTCCCTAAGGGTCTCTTTAAGTGGAGAAATTCCTAGAATAGGTCTTAAGCTGTCTGTAATCTAATGCCTCAGTTATCTTATACCCTAGTAGGAGTGACCTCCAACCTCCCGCCCCCAGCCCACCCCCTGGAGAGGGAACCAAGCGTAGCTGAGATCCTGAGAGAAGGCCCCAGGAAAGGGTGCAGCGGCCTGCCGGTGCTGTCCTTTGCCCTGGTGTGCACGTCCAGACCATCCCAGCTGCTGCTTGTTGTGTCCCATTGGCTCCGGAGTCCACACTGTGCACTTTGTACCCATGGTATTTCCAGGCTCATGATATTCTTATTATAACTGTGAAAGATATTCTCATCTGAGTCCACGTTTGACCTGCCTGGTTCCTACAGACTTTAAAGTAAGTTTTGTTTTTCTGAGTTACAGTAAATATCGATTTTATTCCTTATCTTTGCCGCACTGCTCAGCTCCTCTTGTATCATGTTTGGTCTACAGGTGTTGGGAACTGGCTCCTGCCTACAGTGTGGGTTCTCATGACTTACTGTGTCATCCATGCTGCCATCACGTGGTTATGTCAGCTGCTTATGAAAAGGTTCCCTGAGACCCTCCACCTCTTTTCTGTCATTGGGTGTACCCCAGCCCCACCCCCAGTGCCCCCGTGATGTGGCAGAATCAAGCAAACTGGAAAGGACAGTGAAAACAGTGAGATGCTGGCCTGAGTTAGGACTGTAAACCTCAAGCCCTGACTCAGTGGAGAAGCTGGCTGAGTGCTCTCCTTGTGCCAGGCTCTGCTGTGAGGGCCGTCACGCTGGACCTCTTAGCCCTCACCATAGTCTGGGAGGCAGGCACTGTCAGGATGCCCCTTCGGGAGGAGTGGAAGGACTTGCCCAGGGTCACACCACCGATGGCAGAGCCTCAAAGCCATGCTTTCTGGTTCCACTGTTTAACCCCAGCCTCACCGAGCTTGGGGCACCACAGATACAGGAAGCCTTGGACTGTCTTCAGAGTTCATTAAAGGAAAAAGAAACTACTTGGAGCTCTTTTTCACATTGCGGTAAAATGTACATAGCATAGAATTTGCCGTTTTAGCCCTTTGCAGTGCACCGTTCGGTAGCACCTAGGCACGACTGCACTGCTGTGCAGCCATCCCCGTCCTCCGTCTCCAGAACTTCAGCCTCCAAATGGCGACTCTGTGCCCATTACATGCTAAGTGCCCCAGCCCCCACTGTGACCCTCCCGCCCCTGACCACCACCGCCCCCTTTCTGCCTCTATGAGTTCAACTTCTCTAGGTCCCTTGTGTTCGGAGTCATACCAGTAGTTGTCCCTTTGTGCCTGGCTCATCTCACTTGGCATAATGTCCTCAGGGCTCATCCATGTTGTAGCAGGTGTCAGAACTTCCTTCCTTTTAAGGCTGAATAATATTTCACTTACTGAGAAGTTTTGTGTCTTGGTTAGGCAGTGCATCTTAAGGGGGAACCATACAGAAAGAACACTTTGAATTTAGTGCTGGGAAGAGCTGTTCCTTGCAGAAGCTCCTGGGTGATATTTCTTAGCAATACAGCCTTGAAAGCAAGTTTAATAGGATCTTCTGTTTCACAAAATTTCCAGTTCCCCAAATCATGAAAGTTAGAAATCTCAATTCAGAAATATAATACCAGTACCACAGGCTTCGGCTGCAGTTTCATCTTGTTCCCAGAACACAGGCCACCTCTGTGCGCCCTGCTCGTGGTGCGCCCGCAGCCCCTGCACAGTGGGCACTGGGTGGTACCACTCAGACATCTGTTTTACTAGTCTCCTCTCTTCACCTGGGGATTCCCATAGCCACCACACACAGAAATCACAAAGAGCTGTAGCTCTGTCACTGAGTTGGTGATACTGGGGAGGTACAGGCTCTCTTGTGCCTTGTCCTCCTCAATGTGGCCGTTCCTGTCCTTTCCTGCTGGCCCACCTGGCCCTCAGTTTTATAGTTCAGCATCACCTGAGCAGAGAGCAGGAGCAGGTGTCAGTCAGAGTGGACAGTCTGGAAGGACACAGTCCCCTCCAGAGGACCAATAACTGGCTCTGCTTGGCAGAACTTCTGATCGGGTGCTCTCAGGCCAAACTCCCTGGTGTTCTCAGTTCCACAGTTTCAACATCCAGGCATATCCCTCCAGGGCGAGGGGATCTCTTTGCAGGCTTCATCCAAGCCTACAAAAAGCATTTCCAGACCAGAATACAGAAAATAACCCCATACTCTTGGAGATGAGAGTGTTAGCAAAAGTAGTTTCTGTTTTCCTTTAGGGAAGGGAAAGAGTAGATGACATTTGGACCCTGCAGCCATAAGGAATAAATTGTCACCGCCTGGTTTCTCATCAATAAGACTGGATGTGACAGAGAATTCTCCTGCTGCAGCTGATGGACTCTCATCCCTTTTGCTAAGTGGATGGACTTTATTATTTCCACTTTCAGACATGCAACAGGTAGGCCCACACAGCAGAACTCTGACCCACTCTGGCCTGCTTACTGCCTTGAGGTATGAACAGGCCAGGGTGTAGATCAGAAATGAATGGTGTCAGGGAAGAAAGGTAAAGGCAAGTGGTGAGAAGAAGTGAGTAAGCTGCTGCCTTTTCTGACATCTCTCTGAAAGCATTTCTGTGGGTACAGGGAGGAAATGCTGTGCTTTTCAGAACGTAAAACTAGAGCAAAATCCCCTTTTGATGCTGACCCAAGAGAAAAGGATGGATCGCCCATGGGTACCCACTGTCCCCACCTCCTATGTCCCGTCGGCAGGGGGTCATCCCTGCCTCTGTGCACCTGGATCAGGCAGTGCTTGGGAAGAACTGGGCTCCAAGATTAGAAAGATCTGGTTTTAAACTGTGACTCAACCACTTCTTTAGTAACTTTGGGCTAAACCTTAACCTCCCTTGGGCAGAATGTTCCTCTCTGTAAAATGGGGATAGTGAGGGACAAAGAAAGTAGAGTTTCATGAAAACTGATCAGTTCTTCAAATCAAGAAGCACTTGCTAAGTGGCAGATAATCTGGTAAGGGTGTGGGACACGAAGATGCACCATGCATGTGCCTTACTGTCAGGGAGTTTATGGCCTGTAAAACAGCACAGTGGCTTGGAAGGTGGAGGAATTAGAGTCACAAGGTCATACACAAAATTTGCCTTTAACTGTGAGGTGGTGAGGACCTGGGCTGTGGCGGCGGAGCCAAGTAAGGAGAGAGTGAAAAGACACAACCCAAAGCTCTTCCAAACAAAGGGCAGGCAGAACTCTAAAACTGACCACACTGGACAATAACAGGGAGGGGCGGAATTAAAGACAAGACATCTTCCTAAACGGTGCTTGCTCTGGCTGGATGTCACAAGACCAGAGGGGTTCTGTGGTCCGGGGACCGTGGATGGTACTGGATTCAATCAGCCCCGTTATGGCAGGAGTTCTCTGGTGTGGTGTTGTAGTGAGGGCTGTGCATCCCAGGAGGAGGTAGAATGCCCAGCATCTCCCCAGCTTAGGTCGGGAGAGCTTATTTATAAATGTGTTTATTTATGAAGCGGCATTGGCCTTGTGCTCTGAGGGATGCCCTCTTCTAATTTGGGAAGAATGGAAGAGGGGGCAGCTTCTCAACTGCCCCCAGTACTGGAGTTGGTGATGTCCACCTCAGCAACCAGAAGTAGTGGCCACTGAAACCCTATGAGTTGATGAGGGAGGGACAGACGTTAAAGGGATGCATCTGGGAAGGATTGAGATTTATGGGAAAATCCCATGAAGAAGGTGAAGGAAGAGTAGTTAAATAGAGAACAGCTTTATTTCAAGAATGAGGGGCCAATCGGCGTGCACTTACCCATGCATGTTCTTGAAAATGACTTTGTGCCTTGCTTTTTCTTCCCCTTGTAACTCAAAATACTATGTAAAAATTAACACTGAGCTTGGGTTAGGATTAGAAGTGCAGTCTAACCCTACTGTGTTGGCCTTCAAGTGTCCCTAAGAGATCACACCTGTCTTCCGTTGCAGGTAATGTACCGAAGGATCCTGCAGCAGGCGGGGTTCATTCAGTTTGCACAGCTTCAGTTCCTGGAAGCCAGAGAGCTCTTCAGGTAATTTAAGGTGTTGGTAGCAAGACTTCCAAATGTTACTCTGCAGTGAGCTGCATTTCTACTGTGCCATTGGGGTGGGGAATGTGGCTGTGCTCTGTGTACTTTAGATGGTGCTTCAGGAAGACAAGCGAGGCTGGTGTGTAAGAGCAAACATCACAACGGTCACCCCCTCCACACACTGAACTGTCCTGTATCTTGAAGAGAGTGGGGCTGGTGACCGGACATACATTACAGTCTTGTGAAGAGAGAAGAAGGGGACTAGAATGAATGTGATAATGTGGGAAGAATTCTAGGAAAGTACCATTGTTCACTTTTCCTATCCTCCAGAGATTGCACAAGAAGCTGTGAGTTTAGAGAAAGGTGCTTCTGGGAAGACTCATGGAAACTATTCTTCTAAAGACTTGAAAGTGGCAGATCTGTGGGAGGGATGGTTGAATCTGAAGTTAAGGTACTGGGGATCTGTTTAGGAAGGGCCATGAATGCCATGCTAGGAGGCTTGAATTTATTCTGTGGGCAGCACAGAACCACTGCCAGTGAGGAGGGTGGCATATAAGAGTTGGGTGGCAGGAAGGAAGGCCAGGGCGGGAAGCCAGAAGGGGGCAGGACAGGCGAGCATGCAGGAGGGTGATGTGCTGACGTTCCAGGATGTATAGGGCCTTGCCCCGGCCTCGGAGGTGAGATACCCATTCAGAGTCACTCGGAGGTGACTCTGGGCCACAGTGGAGATCCCCAGCTGGGTGAGAATGCCTCTCCCTGTCATCACTGTACGTGAGACCAGCAGCTGGCGGGGGCAATAGGAGAGGCCCTACAGTGATTAGAGGTGGGACATCACCGCATGTGGCTTCCCAGGCCTTCCAGGGCTAGGGCTCGATGCTGGCCCTCTGAGGCACAGCCTACGTCATGCAGTCAGCACAGATACAGCCTCATGAGTGCTGTCTCTGCTTTTAAGATCACTGATGAGACAGGGGGTAACCTGTGTTCCTATAAAGTCCCTTCCTTGTGCAGCGTTCAGCAGGTCCACCCATGACTGCAGCACAAGCAGTACGGGGCTGTTGTGAGCCTGGACGCAGGTGGCAATGGCTCTGCTGTGTGTGCCCGTCTCTGCCTTGGTTCTCAGGACACCGTGCCCATGTGCTGGGCGGGTCACCGTGAGTGCTGTGGCCCCGCCACAGCATGGTTGTGCACGGGCCTCCTCTGTGGTCCCCTCGGTTCTGTCGGACCAGGTGGTGGGCACAGCTCAGTAGTGCTTTGCTGTGCTTGCAAATTCGGATGGTGGCCCTGGCAGACTTGCCCACATATCCAGTGTGCAGATGTGCACCCCCAGTGTTGTTTTGTGGGCCTATGTGTACTCTTTCTCTCTTTTTGCTTCATTTAGTTTGACACTGTAATTGCAGAAGCGGCCAGCTTGATGTCCGGGAGCTGATCTCTCTCTACCCCTTCCTGTTACCCACCTCCTCCTCATTCACACGGTCTCAGCCTCCTCTCCATGAGTATGCAGACCTGAACCAGCTGACCCGTGGGGACCAGGAGAAGATAGCCAAGTGTAAGCACTTCCTCATGAGCTACCTGAATGAGGTCCGCAGCACAGAGGTGGCGAACGGTCACAAGGAGGACATTGACACGGCCCTGCTCAAGCTGTACGCAGAGGCTGACCCCGACAGCCTGCTGGGCCTGCTGGTCACCGAGAATGCCTGTCTCCTCACCGACAGCGCCGCCTGGCTGGAGAAGCACAAAAAGTGAGTGTCTTCTTCCCACAGGCCACCAGGGGCTTCCTGCCGGCCCTTCCCCAGCCAGCGAGTAGTGGGTGAGGCCAGAGGGTTTGAGTTCCCAAGAGAGCCAGCAAGTTGCTACCACAAAGTCAGGGATGACCCAGGTTGGATCACCCTCATCGTGGTCTGCACACAGTTGAAGGGGTCTTGGAGGGCATGAACTCTCCAACCAGTTCTTTAATGGTAGAAGAGTGGTTTGGCCTTGTGAGTAAGTGAAATGATTCTTTAGTTTTCTACATTTTCCATCTAGAAATCACCTGTGGAAAATGCCTTGTGTATGTCAGTAAAATTAATACCGCACTTCAGTCATTGGCAACCAGACTGAACAGACAGACACCCATCTGTGTACACAAATGAAAAGGGAGGTTTGATCATGCTGATTATAGGTCATGGCTTAAATCTTTATCTTCTCATGTTATGTGCCTGAGTTGGCAGGCAGCCACCCCCCGCCTGTGCACGAGGGCGTTCAATCCACAGCGACCAGACTGAGGACTTAGCTCTTCCTCGTGGGCGGCTTGTCAATCATCTAACCCTTCAGGCCCCAGGTTTTTTTCTTTAAAAATGTAGGGTGATCTCTAATCTCCATTAAGCAATAAGATTCGTCACCTATGATTTTGTTGCGTATTTGAAGTGGCAAACATCCTGATGAAATCCCGCAGAAAGCCTGGGGTTGCAATGCTGGATCCTGTTCAGACACCCGAGACAATGCAGGCCTGTTCCTGGTACCCACATGGCTCTTCTAGCAGTCTCCCTCAGTTTCTCAAATACACCATGCAATGGGGTTGTTTTACTTAGAGCCAGAAAACACACTGCCATCTCATGGTGGTGACTTGGAGTGCTGAGGTCCAGAGAGTCAGTGTAACTTTCCAAAAGGTTAAGGAAAAGAGAAGGGTTCCAGCAAATAGCTCAGTATCTTGAGAGTCTGCTCTTTGAGGAAAGAACTCTGGCATCCCCAGGGCCAGCTAGTCCCGGTCACCCACTGGGGAGGAGAAGGCCTGCAGGACTTGGGAGGGTGGGACAGCTCACCACCCAGGCAGTGCCAGTGTTACTGCTGGTCTCCTTCACTTATAAATGAGGAAGTCGGGGACTGCCGAGCTCATGGCCCTACAGTCTGTCAGGAATGAAGCCTGCCCTGGAACCTGGGCCTGTACCCTGAGTGCCCTCCAGAGCCTGGGTGCCAGTGGCATTTATTGCTGTGGCTCATGTTCATACTCCCAACCTTCTTTCAATAACAGCTCAGACAGTGTACTTTCTGAGTGTTCTTTTAATACCTCATGATGGGTTAATAATGGTTAACCAAGGAGATAGGAAATTACTCTAATAATTGAAACAAATTATAAACAATTCCAAGCATGCTTTTCTGTAGTATAATTAGAGTTTTGTTTTTCAGCTTAGACTTGAATATGATCCTTTCTGGATATTGATAGGACATACATTTTAGTCCCATAAGTAAATAAACAGAAATGAGGATCTTCCGATTATTTGAAATTTGTTATTGAACTCTGAGTTGAATAAAATATGGGGGAACCAGGGCCAGGGAGCGTCACTGTGTGGATGCCACGCACCTAGGTAGTGGGGAGAGGGTGCACTTACCACACTGTTCTCTTTCAGGTATTTTGCACTTGGACTGCTGTATCATTACAATAACCAGGACGCTGCTGCAGTTCAGGTTGGTTCCAAAGCATTTTTGCATTGCTGAATAACAGCTACCATTTCACTTATGACTTGGAAAAAAAAATCACAAGCTGGTGGAGACCACTTCTGCCTCATCTACAACCTTTTTAACAACAAAAGTACTACTGCTTCAGAGAGTGTATTCCTTGAGAAATGTTGGCTGAGAGATTTGTCTTTACATCTCTTTAAAGGACATTATCAAGATTGAGGTTTTAAAAATTTAAGAAATAAAAATACGATATCTTACTACAAGGCATATGACATCGGGGACCTATCAGAAGGTTAAGCCTGTGAATAACAGTCTGTTTATAATTTCCACGGTTGACGACAGTCACTGCTGCCAGTGAGCTGGGTGAATTATTGTCCCAATGTCTCAAGGAGAAAATGAAAGCTGATCAAGGCCAGTCACTTGCCCAGGGTCACACCACTGGTTGGTGTGGGCGGGTGAAAATGGCATCCGTTTCCAGTCTTGCATCTTGTATCTTATGACTGATCTCGAGCAAACCTCATCTCACACTCTCAGGAGACTCTCTCCCCATCCGGCATTTGTTGTCCACCGATTGGTGTCGTTTTGTTTCATGGCTTCCTCAGGTGCCTGTTCTTTTGGTTTTGTGAGCAGTAAAGAATGGCAGCAGAGCTCAGCCCGCTAGAGCCGACTCCATGATCTGGGCATGTGTATTTGGTTGCTGTGAAAAACCCATGGTAACATGATTGTTGAATAGGTTAAAATGAAAATGGGTCCCGGTCAACACATGCCCAAGGGATAAGAGTAAATGTGCTTGTCAAAGATACAATTTTTACCCTTTAAAATCTGTAGCTTTGAGAATTTCAGCTTGATATATGTGTAACTATATTAGCAGAACTGTAGAGGGAAAGATTTGCAAAATTGAAGTAATATGAAATAAATCTCCATATATGGCAGAATTCTATTAAAAAAATGACACTTTCAGCGTATGTGACATTAGGTTATTTGGTTTGGAGCATTCAATGTTGAACAAACTAGTACCATACAAAATATTCATGTGCTGGTATCAGAATTACAGGGTTTACACCGATCGCCTGCCCTGTTTTTTGGGCTTCCCTCAGGTGGCATGGTGTGGTCCCCAAGCGCAGTGCCGTGGACAGATGGGTGTGGTGCGGGACACAGGCAGTGTAGCGCGGGCTCTGGGTGTTCTCCATCTTATCCCTCCACAGGGTGCCCCCTCGTTCTGGGTTCTGAAAGGAAGCTTTGGTTTACATGGCAGGGAAGTTTCTGGATGAAACAGCAAAGAACTTTTATTATTAGAGTCTATCATGACTGCCTGTGCAGAAGACAGTCAGGACACTAGGGGACAGAATCACCAAAGGTTTTGGAAGTGTAACATCTGACTATCACGGTGCAGAAGGGACTTTAAGAATTGCTGTGATGGAGGAGATGGAAACAGCCTAGCTGGTGATGTCGGTGAATTTCTTCTGTGTTAAGATGTTGTTAGCGTTCATTTTGGTTTTCATGAAGAAACATTTTTAACCCATCCACCTCTTCCCATACATTATATTTGCTATTTGTATTACTGTGATATCATTAAAAAGGGAAAGAAAAGAAATGGGTGCTTTATTTCTTGATTTCCTGGACCATGTCTGCTGCATTTCTTGATTTCTCTGAAAAAATTAAAATTGCTTTAAGCATTTAAAATGTGTCCTACTACTTTTAAGTATTAAAAGGCCAAATAGGTAAACATATACCCCTCATAAGCTAATTCTAAAAGGTAGATAACATTCTGTTTCTTTTTATTTCTGACTTCTTTCCAGTTGTGGGTGAACATTGTGAATGGGGATATTCACGACTCCACACGGTCAGACCTGTACGAATATGTTGTTGATTTCCTCACCTACAGCGTAGACCAAGAGCTGGTGTGGAGGTATGCTGACTGGGCCCTGCAGAAAAGTGAGGAGGTTTGTGCTTCCTAAATGCATTCTTTTGGTGGTGGATGGGGGGCTAATAGAAACAAATAGAAAACTTGATTTTAGGTGGGAAAAATAGGCTACACTTCAACCTCTCCCTCCATTGTCTTCATTTCCTTTTCATACTTCCCCTTGAGCTGGCTGAATCCCAACTCTCAGCGATGTTCTGCATGTCAGTGCTTCTGAGATGTATCTGTTTGGCATTTTCTGTCTAGGGCAGGTCACTTTTATAGAAAAGCAAAAGGCATAGTGAGGTCACATGCTTTACATCTCCTTAAAAACGTGTGTGTGTGTGTGTGTGTGTGTTCAGGACAGAGGGACTGAGTCCTTAGGGAGGCCCCAAAGATGACTGGAAAAGAGAGAGCATTCTAGTTCTCACCATTAAAAGGATTCACATTTCCTTGGCTCTCCTTGGAGAGAAAAAATGGGCTTTCTGATGCAAGGCCTTTGCCGTAAATGTAGTTTCCCATGTGCTGTCCCCACCTTTCTAAACTCTGAGCTGGACTGTGTTCCCTGTGGCACATAGGTCAGAGGCATGTACTTCTGCACTTTCTACCTCACCTTTACTTTGTGTCTGTGCACACGCACATGTGACATACCCTGGCACACTCACACACCTGCCACACAGATCTGATGCCATTAGGCTCTTCCCAGTGCTGACAGATGATAGCAGGTCATTCCCAAAATTCTGCATAATAAACCAGTCACTCCATGTTTCATCTCTTTTAGACGTCACAACAACCCCACTAGTGGACATTAGTTATAGATAAGGAAACTGAGGTTCAGAGAGCTTAAGAAATTTCCAAAGGTTGTATAGTTGATAGAGCTGAGACAAAGCCACATGTGTAGAAATGAAAATTCTCTGTACTTCTTGTTTTGGGTTTGTAGGGTGTGTGTGTGTCTGTCTGTGTCTGTGCGGTAGAACGTGCACACTGAGTGCGCAGGGGAGATGCAGCATGGACTCGTTCCCCTCCTTGACTCACTGGCATTCCCTTGGAAGATGCCGTTGCCACAGTGAGCGCCACGTGACAGGCAGAGGAAGGCAGCCTAGACACCTGTTCAGGAACTGGACTTGGAATCCCATGGAGGATACCAGTGTCAGGAGAACTGAATTTACTGAATGTTCACTACTTTATACATTCTTTCACTTAGTATTCAGCAAGTGACAGTCCTTGTTTATGGATGATCTTACTTGTTGCTTCTGGGGTTATCAAAACCTGCTACCTGTAAATGTTTCATTCTTTAATTTCTGGCCCTTGTAAAAGGAATTCCAGCTGGGTGTGTAAGGAGGCCTCAGAGGTTTAGCCACCTTCCTTACCTTTGCTTTATGCTCTGTGGCTCTATCAGTGTGTCACTCTGCACTGCTTTTCTGTATCACCATGTTTTTGACGATGATTTTACCCAAAGTGTGGATGTGCAGTGCTCAGAATAAAGAAAAGATGTGTCTTCGAGAAGCATAATATCTAAATTGCTCTTCTTTCAGGTTGGAGTTCAAGTTTTCACCAAGAGACCTTCGGACGAACAACAGAATAGTTTTAGTCCGGACAATGTAATTTCCTGTCTTAAGAACTACCCTAAAGCCCTTGTTAAGTATCTGGAACATCTAGTCATAGACAGGAAGCTGCAGGTGAGCACTTCAGGATGTCAGCTACAGTGTGGGGTTGCATTGCCACAGTGGTAACTGAAGAGATGGGGATTGACCGTAAATTTGGTGCATGGTTGTGATGTAATGTTGTATGTTCCCTGAGTGCCCTGAATGTTCACGGGGATCGTCTGTGGGAGAGTTGGAGGCTCCTGAAAGAGCCTGGATGAATAACAGCTGTTTTTTTTTTAACTGCCATCTCATCTCCACTCAGATTAAATTTTTCTTCTCTTTTCCTACTTTGTTATTATCCTTCAAGGAAGTGAGAGAAGCTGCACCTTTGGGGAGAGTACCTAAATTCTGTGGCCCTTCTCAAAATGAAAAGTGCCCCTTAGATATTTTCCTCACAAATTTTGAGTTCACCTTCTCTGTATTGTGGTTTCTGAGAGGTTTTGACCCAGTCAGCATGTCAGTTCACTGTCCTTGAGAACGTGCCCAGCTCACCTCTGCTCAGTTCCCTCTTGGGAGTACTTCCTGACTGCAGGCTCTCCAGGCCACCCACTTACAAATTCTTCCCGTTTGCTTGGCCCCCGTGTCCTGCAGAAGGAGGAGTACCACACACACTTGGCTGTCCTCTACCTGGATGAGGTGCTGCAGCAGAGGTCCAGCTCCAACGGCAAGGGTGCAGAAGTCACCGAGACACAGGCGAAGCTACAGCGTCTGCTCCAGAAATCCAACTCATACCGAGTCCACTTTCTGATAGGTGAGGAGTAGCAGTAGTTTCTCTGTCGATAAGCTATACCCAGGCTGGAGGGGAGCAGAGGTGAGAGCTCTGGCTTAGCTCCTTGTTCTGAATCCAAGACTTGATTCCTTGAGCCTCTTGGCACAAAGTCAGCCTTCCTGGAGGATAGGGGAAGCTTTGCATGCCTCCACCCTGTAGAAATGGACATTGCCCCTTTCGCTGGTGACACAAGAGCTGCCCCAGTGGGTCTGGAAGTCTGTGGAGCATACCTTTGGAATCTATTCAGCATACCTGTATTTAAACTTCCTTATGTGAACCATAGCTACTTCTGAGGATGCCAGCATTTGAGCAAGGCTTTGCCAACTGGCACTGCTCCAGCTGCCCCTCAAGGCTGAGCTGAGGGAGGCAGTGCAGGTATCTTGGAGGGGCGTCCTCAGGGTGCAGATACCACAGTTTCTATATTTTGTAAAATGCTACAGAGTGGTGCAGTGCTTGCACCTGATAGAACTAGTTTCTTGCTGTATATGACATCATGAAATTTCCAGATTTGTTCTTACTGGGATTAATAGTGTATTTCTCTTTAACAGCATTGAAAACTGTTTTTTAACCATTAACTATAGTTGATTCTCATTATTCATGATAGATACATTCTATAAAGTCTCCACGAACACTGAATTAGTAAATGCCAAATGGTTGCCCCTAGGGAAATGCAGGTTTAGTTTCCTGCAAACTTCTGATCATATTTTCATCAACTGATCAGTCAGTAATAACTGTTAAATGAGTGTTTTCATTTAAAGACACCATATTTGATAGGTATTGCTGATTCATTAACACTGAGCTCAAAGCCAGCAGAACTCTAACCCTGGCCTGAACATAACTCATCTAACATACAAGTTCTTTCCATAAGGCACAGACAGCCCTCTTTAGCTTACAAACACCAGACAGTGATTTAGCACTACGCTTAGGGACCATTTCAAATGATAAAAGTAAATGGTGAAATTTCAAAAAAATTTGAAATGTACAAAAACACAAACATGCAAAAAACATGCCTCTATATATACCATGAAAAGGGCACTTATTTATAGAATGAGAGCTGCATCAAGGAGGCAGACCATCGCCTTGCTGGGCCTCAGCTCGGAGCATGTGTGTCAGACAGCTCAAATGTTTGTCCCTCTGCACCTGTCCATCAACGACCACAGAATCACCCCAAGTGCTAACTTCGGGTTTATAGATAAATTTTGGTGAGTAGGCAAATTCGCAAATATAGACTCTGTGAATAGTGAGGATGGACTATATATGCCAGGCATAGGTCAAAATACTTGGCATGCATTATGACACGTAATTTTCACAACAACCCTAAGAAGTAAGTCCTGTTTTTTAAAAATTACTTTTATTGTTACTTTTACAGAAGAATAAGGTAAAGCTTAGAGAAGTTACCCAACTTGCCCCATGTCACACAGTTCATGAGCCATAGATCCAAAACACAAACTTGATATTTCATGCAGAGAGTGTTAGTCTGAGCTTACACTGGCACCAGGGTTGACATTCAGCCACAATACCCATCAGCCATGCTGGTCACTCACAGAGCTGTCCATGCTGATGGTCAGTGCCATGCTCTCCTGGTTGTTAAACATTTTTACTATCACCCCTGAAATTTCCAGATTTGTTACTTCATACTTTATGTGTTACAAATTCCTTTTTAAAAACTCAGGCCATGCATGAGTTTGTTGATCAGTGTTTCCATTTGTGTACCTTTCTGAGCATGTGTCATATGTCAGACACTGTACTGAGGATATACAGGTGGATGGGACTTGGTTCTTGTGCTCAGTTTAACGAGATCGCACATATGGGCTGGTTGAAGCTCCAGGTGGGGCCAGGGAGCAACAGCTCTTCCTGTGGGTTGGGGAGGCAGGGACAGCCTCCCAGAGGAGAGGCTGGGTGAGCAGTCATAAAGGCTTGCAGGTGAGAGTGGGGAGCTTACTAGAAATGGGGTACCCACCAAGGCACTGTGGAAGAGCACTGGAAACCCAGAGACTACGTCTGCACCCTTGGTAGTCAGGTGACTTGGGGGGTGTCAGTTCAGGCACCTGGCAGGAACAGTTGCTGCACAGCCCACCCATTGGGGTGGCTGAGAATCAAATCTGAATGACATGCTAGGTGTGAACAGTGTAGCTCACTGCAACAGCCTTGCTAAGCCGTCTTTGCACCTCTCCCTGTGCCTTACACATGGGAGCCGCTTAGTGATTATCTGTTGGTAGTTACCTGGTGCCGTTTCAGTGCTGAGTGCTGTGGATGACGCGTCATAGACCCAGCCCTTTGCAACAGGATTAGGGGCCTGCCTTGTGCATCTGGCCTGAGTGTGGCCAAGCTTCAAATGCAAAATACCTGAAATTCAAGTATTAACCTTGGCCCCTGAGGTAGGAGTTGTCCTCAGAATATGCCTTCACAAATGAAAGAGATCTTACGTTACTCCCCATTTTACAGAGGGAGTGGACAGCAAAGGGACTATAGGACGGAGATGCAGCCCACTAAGGGTAGGGCCTTGGTCAGAACAGATGCTTCCTGTTGGTGGTGTAATTTTATTCATAACCTGGTGATTTAAATTGCAGGAGAAACAAAAGAAAATCTTTGAAATAACATAAATACGAATTTTTAACAATATGAGCCCATATTCCTTTCCATGAAACATATTTTAAATTGGAGTAAAGGGGTTTAGCATGCTTTTCGGTAGTGTGGAGGTTGGATGGTATTGCCTGGATTTAAATGAATGCTGTGCCTTTCTGCTTAAATTGGAAGACACCATACTGGGAAAACAGAGGAGTAATGATGGGGTAATGGGGGGCTGGAACTGTGATACACAGTTTCACCCGGGCCTCCTGAGATCATGGGGGAGTTGTTTTTTACTCATTCTCTGAAGATTCTTAAAAATGTGTATTCTTAGATCTGGCAGTACTTACACATAGAGTCTGGCTTCTCCTTTGCTAGCACCCAGATCTGGAGCAAGAAAGTACAAGAAAACCTTCCTTTGGTAGTCTGGGTGGCAGTTTTGAGCAGCGCCCAGGTGGCACGATGTGCTCCGTGCTCCGTTAAGCTCAAAGTGCAGGGATGGGGCAGCTGCACTGGATGGCAGGCGCTGCGCAGGTCTGCGCCTTGCTGACGAGCCGGTTCTGCCCAACAGACAGAGTGCAGGGCGCCGGCCTTCCCATGGAGAGCGCCATCCTGCACGGGAAGCTGGAGGAGCACGAGAAGGCCCTGCGCATCCTGGTGCACGAGCTGGGGGACTTCGCGGCGGCCGAGGACTACTGCGTGTGGCGCTCCGAGGGCCGGGCCCCGCCCTACCGACAGCGGCTCTTCCACACGCTGCTGGCCGTTTACCTCAGCCCCGGGCCCTCTGCACATGAGCTGGCCGTGGCCGCCGTGGACCTCCTGAACCAACACTCCACAGAATTTGATGCGGCCCAGGTCCTGCAGCTTCTGCCAAGCACCTGGTCGGTGCAGCTCCTCTCCCCGTTCCTGATGGGGGCCATGAGGGGCAGCGTCCACACCCGGAGGACCTCCCAGGTGGCTCTCGGCCTGGCCAAGTCTGAGAACTTGCTCTACAAATACGACAAGGTGAGAGCCCAGCCCTTCTAGGCAGCTAGCTGCTCGACCAGCTGATTTTTTAACTAAGGTAGATTTTACCTACAGGAAAATATTTTACGGCCATTTCTTCCTCTACAACTTCAACAAATCAAATATATGATTCTACTTGTACAGAAACTAAGGTACCTGTGAGCAGAGGCAGGAGCGGGGCTGGCAGGTGTAGTTTTTCTCCCCTTCTATAAAAAACAAAAGGTGTTCAGGAGAGCATGTGGGGCAGGCTAACACTTACTGAGTCCATAGGTCATGCCAGGCACTGTTCTACACTTTACATCATGATATCATCTCATCAACAGTTTTGTGCAGGATCTGCTATTATTATCTCCATTTCACACAGAGGAAACTAAGCACAAAGAATGCACATTAAATGGAAGAGCCCACATGTGAGTTCCTGGCCAAGTCACAGCCCCAATTCTTGGTCCCTGTGCCAGTCAGCTCAGGCCACTGTAACAAACACCACAGGTTGGGGGCTCGCACAGCAGACATTTATTTCTCTCAGTTCTGGAGGCTGAAGATCAAGATCAAAGTGCCGGCACATGCGGTGCCTAGTGGAGACTCTTCTGGCTTGGGGATGGCCACCTTCCCACTGTGTCCTCGGGTGGCAGGGCAGCCAAGCTTTGCTTTTCCACCTCTTCTTTGTTTTAATATTACTTTCAGGTATGCAACACGATGATGTGCTATTTTTATATACTGTGAAATGATCACCTCAGTAAGTCCAGTTAGCATAAATTACCACATTTAGTTAAAATTCTTTTCCTTATGATGAGAACTTCTAAGATTTGCTCTCTTAGCAACTTCCAAATATATAAAACAGTGTGATTAACTGTAGTCACCATATAAGCAATCCCAGGACTGATTTATTTATAGCTGGAAGCTTGTACCTTTTGACCCCTTTTACCCATTTTGCTCACCCATGGCAACCACCAGTCTGTTCTCTATCTATGAGCTCAGTTTCTTTCTTTTTCTTTTTTTTTAAGATTCCACATGTAAGTGAGATCACACAGTATTTGTCTTTGCCTGCCTGAGTTATTTTACTTAGCATAATGCCCTCTAGGTCCACCCATATTGTTGTAAATGTCAAGATTTCCTTCTTTTTTATGTCTATATACTATTCTGTTGTGTGTCTTTTTATCTATTCATCCATCAGTGGACACAGGTTGCTTCCATCTTGGCTAATAATGCTGCGGTGAACATGGGATGCAAATCTCATTCTGAGTTAGTGTTTTCATTTTCTTCAGATATATATCCAGAGTGGAGTTGCTGGGTCATATGGTGGTAGTTCTATTTTTAATTTTTTGAGGACCCTCTGTGCTGTTTTCCATAGAGCTGCACCAGTTTACATTCCCACCCACAGTACACAAGGGTTCCCTTTTCTCCACACCCTCGATTCTTCTCTTCCCCCTGTTCCAATGGCCCTAACCACGTCATGGGAGGCCCCATCATGACCTCATCAAACCACGGTCACTTGTCAAATACCTGGTCCTAATACCATCACACTGGGAATTAGGGCTTCAATGTGTGGATTTGTGGGGGATCTCCCTCCCGAGGCTGCTGCTTTGTGAGGCCCATCCTTCCATGCAGCTGGCAGAGTGCTCTTTTAGAGCAGGGATCCAACATGTCCCTCCTACTTGGAAGCCTTCAGGAACCTCAGGAAAGGAGTTGAGGCCTGGAAGAGCCGGTCTACCTCCTCTGGCCTGTGCCACTCCATCTCTCACTGCTTGCCAGGAGGTACGGAACCTCCTGAATTGTGATATGATGTCTCATACCTACGGCCTTTGCACCTGCCATCCCTCTACCTGAGATATATCCCTTTTGTGCCTCATGAACACATAGTCAGAACCCAGCCAAAGAACTTCTTCCTTTGTGAAACCTCCACCTCCCAGTTAGCAGATAAATCACCCCTTTTGCCCACCTCTTTTCCATGCATACATTCTTCATCTCCATTTACTAGTAGATTTTGAGTTCTCTGAGGGTGAAGAGCTTCTTCTGTTTATTTCTTTTTCCCTAGATCCAAGCCAAGTGTTTCATAAGTGTTTGTTGAATGACTGATGAAATTAATTAGTGCAGGGTGACTTCACCAAGTTTGCTACTCGATCCAGCCACTTTCCTGGGTTGACACAAGTAAATTGTTCAGAAAGGCTTTTTTTTTTTTTTTTTTGCAAGACTTCAGTTCTATTTATCAGACAAGAATTGATGGAGTTACAACTCAGTTTTGTTAGTTACCTTAAAAGAAATTGAATTTTATCTCCTAGGATCAGGCTCGAATGTGCCACTAATCAACCACATGGCTTTGAGTGAGCTCCTTATTTGTGCTTTAGGCTCTTGTTTGCAAATGGGAGAATCTGAAATATGGTGATTATGCAGCCTTATTGAGCTTTAATGTCATATGACTTTATAACAAGCCTGACTTAGACATATCAGAGCTCAGAGACATTGGGGAGAGGGTCTGGGGTAGAAATGCCTTGGCCAGACCAGCAGCAATGACTTCTGTAAAATAAGGAAGCAGTTTTGCACTTTCTTTACTTCTCCAGTTACTAGGATGTTACCTCTAATATTCTGTTTCAAGACGTTGATGTTAAAGCAGTCCTCATCAGTAATGCTAACCCACGGGAGAATGCATGTCAACTTTAAAAATCTGGGGTAGCTGTATGTGACAGAATGCTCAGTCTTTATTTCCTTTTGCAGATGAAGTTGAAAGGAAGCTCAGTTCAGCTCTCAGACAAAAAGCTCTGCCAGATGTGCCAGAATCCCTTTTGTGAACCCGTGTTTGTTAGGTACCCCAGTGGCGGCCTTGTCCACACCCACTGTGCGGCCAGCAGACACATGAACCCCAGCTCCCCCAGCCCTGGCACTCGGACTTGAAGAGGCCCTCCTGAGGGTGCGAGAAGGACCCTGAGTTCCTTACCAAGCCTGCTGGGCGCAAACAGCAGAAAGCTGCCATGCTTGTGCCATCCGAGATGAGGGGCTCTGGGGGGGCTTCAGTCAGTGTGAAACGGACTCCTCACTGCTGACCACTCTACATTGAATGTAAATGGAAAACCCTGATAACAGGCATGAAAGCATTTGCCCGTCCAGGTACACAATAATGCAAGACAGATGTTGTCTAGAAAAAAAAATGAGCCTTCCCTGCGTGAGCCAGGCACACTGGCCCCTGCCCCCAGTCATACACTTGCACTGGAGCAGCTGCTTCATGGGGACACAGAAAAGGACTGGACCAGGTGAGAGGCCAGGGCACTGAGCCCACAGCAGCCAGGCCTCACCCCGTGCACCATCCCGCCATCCCGTGGGGTGTGCTGTCTGTCCACCAGGCACCACCCCTGGGTCCTGTCTGTTTCCTGGGATCACCTTGTGGGCTCTGCCTCTGCCCTTCAAATGGCTGACCTTGGGAAAGTGTTTTTGTCCCTTCCTGCTTCCCATCTCACTCTCCACCCCTGGGGAATGCTTCCCGGTGTCCCCAAGCGTTCCCTTTGGGTGAGTTTGTGCTCCTGGCTGCTCACCAGTGAGGACCTGTTAGGAACTGATACAGTTTCCAAGGAGAAGCCACCTGCCACATCTCAGAGGCAACCGTGGGCAGGAAAGCTGGGGCAGGCCAGGCCACGTGTGTGTCGCTTTACTGTCACATTGTCTGCTGATTCAAAACTCCATGATTAACACGTTTGACTAAAAATGTTTATTTGAGGTTATATGATCTTTGTAGTTTTTCTCTGGCTTAGAAATCCATCTATCATATGCATTGGGGATGTTTCTCCTTATTAAAGTCCTGCTATTAAATCCTGGAGAAGTTACAAGGGAAACATTTGTGAGCACAAACTGAGCATGTTTTCAGGAGAGGCAGCTGTTCCCTCACCTCTGAGCAGGGCGGGCAGCAGGTGCCTTTGCCCATGACAGGGACACCAGCCCCCCGGTGGTCCTCATGCCCTTGGAAGGAAGTCCGGTCAGGCTGCCTTACCTCCCAGCACTTTATACTCCTGCTCTGAGGTTTCCGGAAAACACAGGGAAAATGCTTCTTGCTCATCACAAAGTGGAAATTGGTTTTGTGCTTCTGTCTGACATGGCTGAGGAGCTGAAGCTGCTGTTACTCCATGGCCCCCTTTTGGATTTCTTCATTGAGATTATTGATTCTGTATGAATCCAGAGCCTGGTCAGGAGTCTAGCCATACTGGCTTTGTTACAGGATGGTCACAGCACTGTATGGTGTGCATCGGCATTATGACTTGTGAGTCTGCATTTATTCTTCAAGGAGCAAGTTACTAGTACATGCAGTATTGAAAAGCACTGTTTCTCTGTATACTTAATGGGTAAAATCTTGAAGAAGACTTATGATTGCTCCTTCCTACCTACTAGTCTTTTTTTTTCTCTGAAGATCGGTCAGTACTTCAAAATGTTTGTTATCCTTTAGAATAATGGGAATTAAAATTGAGCAGCTCCCTCTTTTTACTGAATCCTCTACTGTGGGCAGAATTCCATGACACTGTGACAGTTGTCGCCTGTATTAAAAACCATACTTTTCTCTAACCTAACTCCCACAGGGCTCTTGATTCTCAAGTTGTATTTTTTAAAGAAACATATGACTCTTTCTGAGGGCCTGCTGTTCTGTGGCTGTACCACTGAACAGAGCAATTAGGCTCACCACTCAGCCCTTTTTCTCTCATTAGTTTCTATGTGTCCATTCTAGGTAAAACAGCATGAACTGAACTCAGCTGACATTAGTATTCTGCGGGCAGTACTGTTTAATTCTGTGAACTGTCTCTCTGTTGCTGCCTATCGAGTATCAATGTGGGAGAGCCAGGCTGACTCAGCCCTGGGCCTGTGCTGAGCCGGAAGGCTTGTGCTGATGAGCAGGTAAATGCGCTTGCTTACTCAGGAGTGCAGGGGGCCCGCGTGGCCACGGGGTCACACCATCAAGTTGATGCCTGTCACACAACGAGGGTAGCCCTTGCTTTTTGCTTGCTCTCCTGTGGAAACCCTTCTCCCTGCAACTTTATCCTTCACCCCTGGTTGGATCCCGAATACACAAGATGTACAAATGTAAACTTGTTGATTTTATTAAAATTCTTTTAATTCTTTGTTCTTTCTGTATTTTTTTTTTTTAATAAAAATGATCTTGGTTGAGTGATGGTTTCCACTCCCATGTCTTCTGATCTAAAGAGATCCAGAACTTAATCATCCGAGCCTCATGGCTCCCACAGTGCCCACAGAGGTCTTAGAGGGCCTGCCGTTTAGATACCTTGTCAGCACTTTACTGAATTGTATGCTGCCCACTTGCGAGTTTATCTCTGGCATATTCCTAAGGTGCTCCCTGACATCCCACGTGTTTAAGTCACTCATGCCCTCAGGGCTTTCACAGAAGAGCTTCCTGGTCACTTCTTACACTTCGCCTTATAGCCGCGTGCTCCTAAAAAAGCCTGCTGCCCTGGGATTTCCAACCCTGAACGTAGTCAAGGAATATAACTTTTTCACTTGGTCTCACCTTTAAATTGTTCTTAGAACCTTGTTCATAGCAGGTCTTTGAGAATTCCTGTTGAATGGACCTCCCAGCCCTTCCCCATGATCTGTCTTTTCATTCCAGGTACTATGCTGGCTTGAGGAGAAGGTCTGTTAACACTGCCCATAGCCACCGGCTGTTTTGATGCTGTTCTGCATGCCCAGGCAGGCTGGTACATGCCAAATTCACGTGCGTGACAGGCGAGGTGGGGTGTCATGAGATAGCCATGTTTCCAGTTGGAGAAAATGAGGAACTGGGGGGTAGGTGATTTTCTTGGAGCATGAGTCCCACCCAACCAGAGCTCTAGCTGCTGCTGGGGGTCTCCTCAACCCCACACAAAAGAAAAAAACAGCAACCAACCCAGGGTTGGCTATATGCAAGCAGTGGCTGCTTGGAGAAAACCGTGAAGCACCAATCTTAATATCCTTTTCTCATTTCTGTACTGCTGGTCCCCTCTGTGGTTCATTAGCCTATTAGAGTTTAAAGTAGGTGCTTAGGCTCGCCAGCCTAATAACTAGATAGTGAGAGCTTGTGCATTCACACTGCCTGTCGGCATAGTACAAGGCCATGTGGCTGAGAGAGGGAAGGCATGCAAATGGGTGTTGCAAATGCTGCTGTTGGCAGAGGCAAAGACTGGCGCCTGACTCAGTTAAATGGGCTGTGACTCGCATTAGAAGTAATTAGATATTAACTGACACCCCATTTGCTCCTCGCAGATCTGTCAACCTTAGCGTTTGAAATGAAAATGTACAAGAATCTAACCATATGGACTAGAGGCCCTTTTCACCTTCTCAGAAAAGCTCAATGGCTGGAGCACCATCTAAAAGCTTGTTAATACCTTGTTCAGAGACAAGCACTGGAATTAATGAAGCCTGCTTTTCTTTAGCTTGCAGCCAAGAAGGGGAAACAAATAGCTATAATTCAGTCTGCCATCCAGAGTCATAAATTAGTTAAACAAGACGTGGCAAGAAGGGACTAGAAAGCAATACATACAACTCAACAGACCAAGTGTGGCTTGTGAAGTAAAAGGTTCCCACGAGGAGCCTGGGTCGCACTGGGCCCTGACATGCTCAGCTGTGGTCCTGGGCAAGGCCTTGGTGGTGTTATCCTTGAACTGGAGTTGGGGCTGAGTGGTACCGGAGGACCCTTTGGGTGCTAGCCCTCTGTTCCTGGCAAGGGAAGCCAGGGCAGAGCAGGGGTGCAGCACTGCCCCATCAGATCGTGGGTGTCTCAGGGTGGTCCCAGCACAGGGGCTCTACGGTATCCCCAAGGATGCATCTGAGCCCTCCCATAACCTCATTACCTGGTTAGCAGTACGGACGTGCCTCCAGCTCACCCCCTGGGACCAGGGCAGCCGTCTGAGTCTGGGAGAGCAGTTGGTCCCTGTGCCCTTTTCAACTGCTGATTTCCAGAGGCCCCGTTCCTCCAGCATCTTCCAACCTCAGCCAAAACTCCCTTTGCCTTTTCTCATGTGCTGTGGCTTCCACAGTCCTCCACCATTACAGCCGCCTTTCTCTAGCAAACATTTTCCAGTTGCCTCACTAGAAATACAGGTTTTTCCTTTTCAGATTCCACTGGTGTCTGACTAAACTGGGAAGGCAGATTCCCAGCCTAATCTCAGTGGGACTGTGAGCTGTGTGACCCAGCTGTGGCAGCACCATGGCCCATCTGACTCGCCCCGGCCTGTCCCGCTGACTGTCACACACGTGTGGCTTACCTCGGGGAACTGGTGTGCACAGGAAGATGAGGGGAGTCAGGCCGCCAGCCTCCCTGCCCCGCTCCCCTGCACTCACATGGGACAGTGAGACTCCAAATTGACTTCTAAATTGTTTTTCAGTATATTGCTGATTTACAGACAACTGTTGGTTTAAACTTATATAAAATAATAAATAATAAATAATGTATAATAATAAATTAATAAAATAAATAACAAAATTTATTATAAATAAATGAAACCAAAATGCTAAGCTTTTTTCTTGAGAATTAGCACATTTCCCAGTTATTTATACATCTAAATGCATTTGATTTCTTTGATTTCAGTTAATATACAAGAATGTATTCACTCTATTTGAGTAATAGAAACATAATTTTCTGTCTAAAAAAGGGATAGGTTACCCTGATTGTTTATAGTTCATAATGCGTAATCAAAACCGAAAGTTTCTGTGATAACTGCCCTTGTACTGTTCACCATTGTAAGAACTTATTCACTATGTAAGAATTTGTTCACCATGTAAGAACTTGTTCATTATGCTTCAGAAGACTGGAGACTGACGAGAATTAGGCTTGAGATGGATTAATGATTGTGCATTGAGCATTGACTCCCCTGTACAGAATTTTATTGTTGTTAACAACCATTGATCAATAAATATGAGAAATGCCCTCTCAAAAAAAAAAAAGGGATAGGTTACCATACTACTTATATGGCGATAGTTAAATATGTTTTCCACATATGTTAGTCTTCTTGCCATTTTTGTGGATTTTTTTTATTGCAATAAAATACATATAACATAAAACTTACTATCTTAAACTGGTTATTTTCCAGTGGACACTTCAGTGGCCTAACTACATTCACAGTATTGGGAAACCGTCCACCTTCCATCTCCAGAACCCTTTCATCTTCCCAAACTGAAACTCTGTCCCCATTTAACACTCATCCCTCATTCCTGTCCCCCAGCCCCTGGGGAACCCATTCTGTTCCGTGTGTCTGTGAATCTGACCAGTCTGAGGACCTCATATAAGTGGAATCACAGAGTCTTAGTTCTTTTGTGACAGCTTTATTTCACATAGCATAATGTCCTCAAAATTTACCCATGTAGCATGTGTCAGAATTTTTCTTTTCCAAGTGAAAAATACTCCATGCCATGGTTTTTAAATAGTATATTTAGTTGTGCTACAGAAAGACCAAAGTAAGTATGCATAGGTTTATATTGCTCATATAAATTTTATATGAAATTAGAATTGCTATTTTATACATTCTAATCAACATGTAAAATTTAACCCTATAACAACTGCCTGAAAGTTACCCATTTATTGTCCTAATCTCTTCCACTGGATTAAAACAAAGCTTATAAAGGGCCTTAACGCAGGCTCTTTAAAAATGGGTCCAAAATCAGCGCAAGCTCTTTTAAACAAGGAAAAACACAAAACTTTCCCCATCATAGGGTCACATTTGTGTTTATCTGCAAGGATCTGCATAAAGCTAATTCAGAAGCAAAGGCAGGCTAACTTATGTGAAAAAGTGGCCCAAGAGCCAGCGGGAGCAGCTACCTCTTGGCCAGAGCACATGACTAGGCAGTCAGGGGTGTGTGCTTTCTTGGCGGGCATCCTCATGAAGGTGTGCACACTATCTATGGTTTTTCCAGCCTTTCTTTACACGAACCACTCTAACATCTTTCAGGGAGGGAAGAAGGTATTGCCATTTCCCAGACCCCTGTTCGTGCCCCTTCTTGGGCAGTTGCTCCAGCTTAGGGCTCCAGCTCCTGCCTTCAAGTAGGTCACTAAATGACATCCCGAGATGGACACAGTCTGCTGAAGGCAAACACGGTAGGAAGAGGGCATCCTCCTCCTTGCTTTCCTGGGGGAGTGAGAAAGTCACTTAGCAGGCAGTGTAGACCACGTGTATGTGTGTGTCTGGGTCCCACCACTTCTGCCAAACAAGTGAAGCAGGGGCACAGTGCCGCTGCCAGTTGGAGCCAGTCTGTTTCCTTTGGTCTTGCGCTTTTCTCCACGGCTGTGAACAGTGTTGGGGGTAGGGATTTCTAGTGTGTTACCACACCTGCATTGCATACCTGTGTCCTCAGCATTCCACAGCAAAGGTTACCCCATTACAGGGGTGGGTTGTATGTTCTGACATCGAATGCATAGGCACCCCATTACCCATCATCATGTCTGTTGCCATAACTGTAATCTCACACAATTAAACACTGGAAATGTGCAGAGGCTATGCCTGTTTTCTGTGTCTGCTCGACTTGCACCTACTGATGTAGTTTTCAGATACCTTCTATTTGTACAAATACTAGAAAATGAGCTGCTTCCTAGCAGCAGAGTGAGCAGGTCAGCCACTGCCAACCCTCCGTGGCTGTGCCAGGGCACACACCAAGGGCCAGGGAGACTCTGCATGGCAACTGCCCAGGGCTGTGCCCAGCAGGGAGTGGCCACAGTCTGCCTGGGCAGTCACAGCCCTGGGGACTTACTCCAAGTTTACCATCTTGTTCACGCACCTGCAGAAATAGAACTGACATTGCTACAGAGGGAAGCAGCTGAGGGACTAATGGACTCACGTCACCAAGAGCTGTGTGTAATAAGGCAGCAGTTTTCCTTGTTCACTGCATGCAT